TTTAGAATGGAGAGAATGGGTACCCTTGTATCAGTCCTAGTCTTACAGGAGATACTTCATGTTTATGTAGTAGAATGTTGGCTCTAGGTTTGTCATATCTTTATTATGCTGATGTATATTCTTTCTATTCCTAGACCTTTTACCATGAAGGGATGTTGAATTTTGTCACAGGTCTTTTTGTTGATTGTCTGTTGAGGTAATCCTAAAATTTTTGTCCTTTAAGTGTATTTATGTGCTGTATGACATTTGATGGTGTGCATATCCTTACACTCCTGGAATGAAATAGTTCAGTCATAGTATGTGATTTTCTTTTCTCCTCTCTGTTCTACTTATTTTAATTTTTTAATTATTTCATGCATACATGCATATAATGTATTTTGATCATATTTATTCCCACTCTTTCCAGATAGATTTCCTACTCCCTTCAACTTCATGTTCTTTTTTTTTTTTAAGATTTATTTATTTATTATGTATACAGAAGAGGGAGCCAGATCTCATTACAGATGGTTGTGAGCCACCATGTGGGTGCTGGGAATTGAACTCAGGACCTCTGGAAGAGCAGTCAGTGCTCTTAACCTCTGAGCCATCTCTCCAGCCCCTCATGTTCTTTTTTTAAAATTACTGACCAAGTCCAATTTGTACCACTCCTATAGGCATGGATGTGGGGCCATCCATTTGAACAGGTCAACCTACCAGGGCCATACCCCTAATGAAAACTGACTCTACCTTCCCTAGAAGCAATCAGTTGTTAATAGCTTCTGGGAGAGGGGGGAACTGGTGACCCCCCCCCCCATCTCCACTTGCATGCTGAATAGCTTGATCTTCTGCTGTGAGTTCATGAGTACAGGGACAGTAGAAGACACTGTGCCCCAGTCCTTCCCAACCTCTGGCTCTTAAAAGTCTCTCTGCCCCCTCTTCCACACTGTTCCCTGCATCTTGGTGCAAGGAAGTGTGATGTTGTGTGTCCCCCATAGGCTCACACATTTGAACGCTGGGTTCCCAGTTGATGGCACTGTTTGGGAAGCTATGGACCCTTTAGGAGGGTTGCTAGAGGAAGCCTGTCACTGGGAGTGGGCTTTGAGAGTTGATAGCCCTGCTCCTCTTCCTGTTCTCTCTCTCTCTGCTTCATGTTTGTGGTTGAAGATGTGATCTCTTAGCTTCCTGCTCTGGTTACCTGCTGCCATGCCTACCCTGCCATTTTGGAGTATTCCTCTGAGACCATAAGCCTAAGGGAATATTTTTCTTCCTTAAGTTGCGTTTGGTCATGACATTTTATCACAGCAACAGAAAAGGAACTAATACAAATATAGATGTTCCCTTTTAGCTGAGCACCTCTTAGACCCCTCAACCTTCCTAATGCTACAGCCCTTTGGTCCTATTTTATAACTGTAATTTTGCTACTGTTATGAATGTAATGTAAATATCCGATATGCAGGCTATGTGATAAGGAACCCCCAAAGGCGTCATGACCCACAGGTTAGAACCACTGGCTTAGACACTTGCTGTCTGCGCTTTGACGAGTTGTGCGTGTCTTTGTTGACTACCATCCACTGCACAAAGAAGCCTCGATGAGGGCTGAGAGCTGCACTAATCTACAGTTACAGAGAAACGTACTCAGAAGGCAGTTCGGTGCCATGTCCATTTAGGAAAAGAACAGTAAGCTTACCTCTGTGTCCTGTGAGCGCCATCCTGCTGCTCCCTTATTCTTGAATTTGGTTTGCACAAATTTTATTGAGAATTGTGTCTGTGTTCATTAAGGATATCAGTCTATTTGTTGTTGTGTCCTTACCTAGTTTTGGTTTCAAGATACATTGGCTTCATAGAGTGCGTTCGGTCATATTCCTTCCCCTTCTGTTGTGGAAAAGGTGAGTGTCGGTGTTGAGTCATCCACGCCTAACAAGTCAGTCAGATCCAGGACTTCTCCTTGGCTCTTACTGCTATAGTTTCATTGCTTGGGGTTTAAATGGTTTTTATCCTCTTAGTGGCTGGTCTGTGAGGCTAGGAATTTATCTATTAGAATTTTTCTACATTGTCTAGTTTTTTAGGATATAACTTTTAAAGATATTTTCTAATGATCCCCCGAATTTCATTGGACTCTATTGTAATCTCCCCCTTTTTGTCTTTGACCTTACTAATTTGGATCTTAGTTGTTGTTAGATTAACAGAGGGTTCACCAATCCTATTTAATTTTTTTTTTTTTTGAGTATTCTGTATCTGTTGAAGAATGGATGGGATATTCCATAGATGTCTGTCAAACTATTTGATCTCTGGTGCAGTTTAGCTGAAGTGTCTTTGCTAATATTTAGTTTGGATAACCTGTCTAAGGATGAGAGGGGGGTATGGAAGTCATCTATCCGTGTTATTTTCTTAGTGCCTCTCTGACCTTTTATGTCCATTCATGCTTATTTTATGAAGTTCAGAGCACGGATGTGTGGTTAATGAACGTATTTACAGTTGTTACATCTTGATGAATTGTGTGGCCATTGTCAATGTGTTGTGGCTTCCTTTGTCTTCTCTGACTGTGACTTGAAGTCTCCTGTATAAGATAAAGTGGTAGTCACGCTGGATTGTGTTCAGCTTTCTTCCATCTGATACATACGTCATTTGACTCTTGGATTGTGCTTTGTCTTGTTGCTTGTTTGTTGTTTCCAGTGATGTGTGTTTCGTGGAGACATTTGGATCTTGATTTTTAATTTGCTCAGTTGGTATGTTGCCTTTTTAGTGGTAAGTTAAGATGGTTTGTGTTTCAGACTTCATTGGAAGAGGTTTGCCAATTCCCATAATATTGCCAGTTGTTTTTCTCCTTGGTTGGATTACGTGTGCTCTGCTCCCCCCCCCCCCCCCCCCACTTCCCAGCCGCCTCCAGTTAGTATCCCCGGGTCTCTGGTTTACAGTGTTTGCTATAACGATTTCCTTTTTGGCTGTCCCTGGCTCATCTCTTCTTCTCAGTGTTCTTCTGTGTTGGATATCCCTTTAAGCATCAAGTGCAGTCTTAGCTTGGTCATGGGCTGCCTTAATTTGTGTCATAGTCAATTTTAAAAGATAACTTAGGTGGTGGGTATGGTTCTCTTGGTTGGCAGTTACTCACTTCCATGGCATAAAATGTCCCATGCTCGCCTGGTTTTGAGGGTTGCTGATGAGAGAGGTCTGATGTTACTCTTGCCTTTATTGGTGCCCCACCCCCCCACAACTTCTCATGTTGGTTATTTACTTTGTTGTTGTTTTAAATCTTGAGTATAATATATGTAGAAACATTTATCTTCATGTCAGTTCAATTTGGATTTCTAAATGTTAGGGTTTCTCTTTCCTTGGATTTGGGAAATTTATGTTATTAACTTCATCAACCATTTTCTGTGCCTTCCCTTCTTCCCTGTGGATGGGTCTCTCTCCCTCTCTCCCACCCCCCATGTGTGGGTGTGAGTGTGTGGGGGAATTGGATTTATGGCCTTATGTGTCTTAGGCAAGCACTATACACTGAGTCCCAGCCTTGCCCATGGAGTCTTAAGTCTCATCTCTTGATTGTATCTTAGAGGTCTTTCATGTTGCAATCATGCTTGTTTATTTAATTTCTTCATTGATATCTGAGTGCAGTGTTGCCTCATTCTCCATCCCAGGTTTCTTTCTTCTGCTCAGGTGAGCCTGTGGTTTTGCTTTCGACTGTGTGTCTTATTTGATTCATTGAGTCTTTAATTTCTGTGATTATTTTTCAAGATCTCAGTGTCTTCGCCACATTTCTTCATGAGGCTGCCCTGTTAATCCATACTGCTGATTCTCTCACCCATGATGCCGACTTCCCTCCCGTGTTTCTAGCTTGCCTTCCCAGAGCCTGGATTGGTCTCCTTATGCCATTCGTCTGCTTGTTTAGACTGCCTTTGAGGTTAGTGTTCATTTGGTTGTGAACTTTGGAGCTCGTCATTGGTGCTTTGATAGCACAGGACTTTGAATTCACCGGTTGAGGAGTCACGACCTTTTGGAGGTGTCGTTCGTGTTGCTTGTGTTTGTGTGTTGCGCTTTGTGAATGGGTTGGTGTGGATTTCTCATCTGATTTTATTTGGGGATTTTCATAGTGAGCAGCCCACTTGGGAAGTCTCCACCCCAGCACCACTCAGGAGACAACAGGCTCCAGTGGTAGCAATCATTAAATCGTAAAGACAGACTTCCACTTAAAATCCACGAAAGCCCATTAATGTATCACCGATAACCATACAACAGAAGCAGTCAGAACCGGTAGAGAGTGTGGTATGGGGTTCAGAATTACATAGGGTAAAAGTGGAAGTAGTAAATGAACGTAATAAATACAGGGAAGTAAGGCCCAAGGAAAGGAAGAATAAAGAGAAGTAGAGAATATTATGAAGGAAAAGAGAAAATCAAGAGATTGGAAAAAAAAGTAAGAATCTAAAAATTCCTCATAATGACAAATTTGTCGCCAAAAATTAGGGAAGAATAAGGAGAGAAATAAAAACACGAATACCTTAAAAGAAGTAAGAGAAACTGGGGCTGGGGAGAGATGTCTCATCTGGGAATGGTGCCTTCCATGCCTGTGTGAGGACCTGAGCTCAGAGCCCCAGCATGCATATGAAAGCTGGGGGTAAAATGGGACCGTTTGCTGCACAAGAATGAGGACCTGGGTTTGGATCCCAGGTGTCCCTGTGAAAACTGGGCACTGTGGTGGCCAGTACCTGTAATCTCAGTGCTTAGAGGCGGAGACAGGAGGATTCCTAAGCTCACTGGCCAGCTAGGTTAGCTGGATCAGTGGATTTCAGGTTAAGTGAGAGGCCTTGTCTTAATAAGGTAGACAGGTTGAGGAAGGCACTCCATCTAGCTTCCACATGTACACATGCACTCCGGCACGCGTGGCGAGTTGGGATGTCCCAGCGGAAATACTTTGCTCAGGGTGCCTAGGGTCTTGGGTGCAGCAGTGGTAAAGGCTATGATGCTCGTTCTACCCTAAGTGATCCCGGCAGCCTCAGTGTTATCCTTCTCTTCTGAATCCAAAACAGATCCCCAAAGAAGTCGCTGACATCTTTAATGCCCCCAGTGATGATGAAGAGTTTCTGGGTTTCCAGGATGATGTTCACATGGAAAACCTATCAGAGAGCTGTGATAGTTTGGACTCGCTGGAGTTGCAGAAACAGGTAGGAGTCTTTCTTTTCGAGACAGGCGTGGCCCTCCGGAAGCCTGCAGCATGGTTGGGTGCTCTTTCGTCGTAGTGTAGCCGTAAGTTGGCAATGTCCTGAGTTGGCAATGTCCTGAGTCGTTGGGTCCCCAAATCTGCTGTTACTTTATTTATTATGTACACAGGCCAGAAGAGGGCGCCAGATCTCCCTCAGATGGTTGTGAGCCACCATGTGGTTGCTGGGAATTGAACTCGGGACCTCTGGAAGAGCAGCTCTTCACCGCTGAGCCATCTCTCCAGCCCCTCCCCAGCTGTTATACTGCTGTCTCATCTCGTTTCCTGTCCCCACTACCCAGGAACGGGTGAAACTTCCCGTGTCCGTACACGCCTCCCTTCATTTCTCTGCTCTCCGTCGCTGCCCTCACACTCAGCCCTTCGTGAAATTCTCCTCTCTCCTTGCTGAGAGTAACAGAAGGACTGAGCTCAGGTCAGGCTCTCTCCCTGGGCATGGGTAGAGAGGGAGCGTGGAGCCTAAGCCATCACGTCAGGGCATGTGGGCACGGGAGACATCTGCTGCTTTTGCTGCCATGACTACCACACGCCAGGCCCCAGGGCTGACTCCACCCCTGCAGACCTTTGTTGGCTGTGAGAGTGCCACTCTCACTTTATACGGATACGGAATTTGCTCCAGACTGCAGGGGCTGGTGGAATACAGATGAAGCTCAGGGACACCAAAGACTTAGCCAAGGTCCCACATGGGAAAAAGAGCTGAGCGAGGCCGGCTTTTCCAAATCCAGGCCACCGCTTCCCATCTCCTCCGCCCCGACACTTTATCTTCCCTGTTGTACACAGCACAGATGCTGGCTGACTTCCCTTCCATTAGTTGGTCCTCCCTACTGGAGGGATTCCTTTTCCCTCTGTGATGGAATGTGTGTGTCTGCCTCTGTTGCAAGTTCCTTGAAGGAGGAAATCATACTTGGACGGGGCTTTTTGGCTTCCCTGGCCCTGGTCTTTCGTTCCGCTGACCCTTTGATCTCCGTTCCAGCATGCAGCACTCTGCGTCATCGTGCACAGTAGGCACCCATAGGTGTTTACTGGGTACAGATGGAATATGTCCACCTCACTGGTACACAGGTCATGGCTGTCTAGTCCTTTTCCATGTCACATGAGCTTCAGAATAACACAGTGGACTCTGCTGTCTCCTCCTGCTTAGACTGTTAATCGTGGGAGACACTAGTCACTTGGTATGGCCTTGGCGGTGTAATGAGCATCTTTCAGAGAGTGAGGAGCTGTGTGAGCCTTTCCCCAAGCATGCAGTGAGGCTGTGCAGTGGGGATCAGCCTTGCACAGCCACGTGGAAAACAGTTGTTAAGCCCTTGAGAATAAGCTTGTGGCAAAGTCGTCTTAATCCCATCAGGACCCATCACCTTCACTGGGATAGAAATTGCCAGGAAGGTTGGAAGGTTGGAACTCGCTGCTCTAAGGCTTGTCTCATTCTCTTTCAGGCTCTGTGTAGGATCTTTGGACGTTTATTGAATTTGTGCATTGAGGCCAGTGCCCTGGAAAAACCCCCAGGGGTTAGCCAGATGTTTCCTGCACGGGGCTTGGTGGGTTTCCTTAGCTGTGGTGCACTTGGTTCTTAGTATTTATTGTATTTTATGTGTGGGAGTGTTTCCTTGATGTGTATGTGTGCACCAGTTACAATTGTGTGAGCCCTTACAGCTGGAGTTAGAGGGGGTTCTAAGCCGCCATGTGGGCACTCAGAACCGAATCTGTGTCCTCTGCAAAAACATTAAGAGCTCTTAACCACTGAGCCATCTTTCCAGCCCCACATTTGTTCTTTTATTAATGTTTAACCCTGGCCTAATGCTCACCTGACCCACACACTTGTGGTTCATTTTGTCCTGCTGAGAGAGAGAAAGCATCAACTTGTGCACAGTTTGTGTAACTGACTCTGGGCTCCCTCCCTTAAACACAATTTGAGTTTCTCTTTAAAGAAACTCCTTTTTTTCTTTTCTTTTTCTTTTTTTGCAGCTGCACCACAGCTAACAACAAAGGAAGGAAGTAATTTAGCTCTGAGCAAACCCATTCCAATTACCCATAATAATTCATAGGAGACATTCTTAAGCTTAGAGTGCTGGCTGTAGGCATTTCCTTCTCCACTGCCCTGTAAGTTTTCCTGCTATTATATATTTCTGTTGTATCTGTTTTTTCCCCCCAAAGATATCTGAGTCTGAAGACGTGTGTAATTAAAGCCAGAGAAAGGCAGCAGTGAAATGGTGTCAACCAAGTGTGGTGTTGAGGGGTCGCTGCTTTTTTGGGTTCGGGGACAGGGAACAGAGTCCTGGTGCAGTGTTAGCCTTGCAGGGAGCCGTGTGGGGGTCTCCCTTTGAGTCTGCCATTCTTCCCCTCTTTTTCTTTCAGACACACACTTAGGAGAGCTAGGAAAATGTCTTTGCTCACCCCTTCAGTCTTGCAAGAGGGGATCCCAGGGTGCGAGGGGTGCAGATTTCCATCAGTTCCCCATGTTCCTGTCATTGTAAATGGAGCAAGTCCAATCTCTAGCGATGCACCGGTGAGGGGTGTAGGAGCCTTGGCCCTTTGCTATAGAGAGTGGGTACCACTGCATTTGGAGGGAATAGACGTTCACCCACAGAAGAGTGCTCCAGATGGCCAAAGGGAGTAAAGCTAGCAAGTAGGTGTCCACTTCCCACAAGTTTCTGCGTGAAAGCCAACAACAGCCTGGTTGGCTGGGACAGGAGACTCTGAACTCCATCCACACTTCCCAGTCATAGCACGAGTGACAAAGACACAGTATTGATTGAGATTTCCTTGATATGTCTTCATTTCTATAAGGTTTAGAAAATGTGTGTGCTGTGTGTGTCTATTGTGAGTGTAGTAAAATACTCATCATGTAGAACATATCACTATAACTGCTTTAAGTAGCATTAACCGTGATGTACATTGTCAAGCCGCTGTCCTCACTGTCAGTCCCTAGAACATTCCCATCCAATAGAAAGCCTTGCCCATTAGAAGTAAGTCCCGCCCTGTAACCACTGTCCTTTCCCTTTCTCTTCATGAATGTGTTGTGGCAGTGGTACCTGATTTTGGTTGGAGACAAGGTCTCACTGTGTAGTCCAGGGTGGGAATCCTGCCTCAGCCTTTACCCCAATACCCAGGGAGACCTCCTCCTCCCCAGAGTACTGGGATTCTGGGTCTGTGTCACCATGTCTCGCTTTAATACGTGTTTTTAATTTAGCAGGATGTGTGTTTCCATTCGAAATACCTCACTGAAGAGCTAAAAAGGATTTTCATAGAGGACACAGATTCAGAAATTGAAGATTTTGAAGGATTTACAGAGAGTGAGCTGAACATGAACAGTGACCCAGAGGTAATGGTAGTCCTGTCAACACAAAGGGGTGTGAGCTCTAATGTTCCTAGTCCTGCTTTGAATTATCCTTTTATCCTGACATGTTTTACAAGGGAAAAGATGATATTTTTTTATTTTATTTATTTAATTTTTTTAGTAGTAGAAGCCAAATAATATAAGAATCACTATTCTAGAGCTGGTCCTGCCTGTTCCACAGGTACACTCCTCTGCTAGAGGAAACTGTCCCTCTATCCCTTGGGGGTCAGGAGCATATCCCAGGTGGCCTTCATCGTCGTACCCAGTTTATCTCAGATTCATCGTCAGCTTCCTTTATAAGTCTGTCTTAGGGTCACATGCTTCTTCACACTGTCTCTTATGGGGTGTGAAGTCATATTCTTAGGCTAGAAGCTAACGGGGCAAAGCGGGGTGATAGAGCAAAGCGGGAGAGGCCGATGCTGCCTGGTTTGGATTCTGCTGACTATAAGGATGCCTTGGGCCTATGGGGGGCCTGCACTGTGAAAAGGCTTGAGGATCTCTTTCTTTTATTCCGTGTATTGAGGCCAGTTAGTTTTCACACACTAGCATTTCAGTTGTAGGTTACTTTAAATCACTACCTTGTTAGTGATGGTGGTGGTGGTGTTTTGAGGCAAGATCTCACACCACAGCCCAGGTTGGCCCTAAACACATAGCATTTCCTCTGCATCAGCATATCAGGTACTGGGATTCCAGGCATGTACCACCATGTCAGACCATATTGTTTTGTTGGAATAGTTTTAGGTTTGACCTCTTCTCGAGACCTTTACATGATGGTGATATGGTTGTCACTAAAGTTAGTGTGCTGCTGTCACCACAGTTCACACTTTTGTGAGGCGTTAAACCATGTTTTCATTAATGTGCCCTTTCTGTCCTGGGTTCCAGTCCCAAGAATCACATAGCAGTCAGCCTTTCTTTTTAATTTTTTACATTTATATTCTTAACTGATTCCTAGAAACCAGGTGAGGTAGAAGATTTTAAAAGCCTAAGTGTTTGATGTTAACTGTGAAAGATAGCATGTCTGAAAATGTCCTTCCTTGCTGGTAAGGTGAGGTTAGTGTATGCCTATCCGATGTCATCCGCTCCTGTATGACCTTTGCCACAGAACCTGCAGAAAGACACTCTGTGGTAACGGTGGCTTTCTCTATCCCTCTCCTTCCCTCAGGCATCACTTAGGGCATGTAAGTCCTGGGCATTGGCCACCTCACTGCGTTGTAGCTCAGACACCCCCACTCTGCCCTGGATTTTCCCCCAGGTACTTGAGATTTTCACCAGTAGGACACTTAAGATCTCCCAAAACTTGATGGGTTTCATCTCTGAGTGACTTCTTTAACTACTGTTCTTTAGCTCAGTGACACCTAGTCAGTCAAGGAGTTTGTGTTTCTGAGGAGGGAAAGTAAGTTGCTCCCAAAGGCCCTTTCCCTAGACTCTCCATGCTTCCGTCACAGCTGATAGAACTCAGGGTAGGCCCACTCACAAATGTGATTAGAGAGTGCATTGAGGAAAACGTGGTGTCAGTCAGCGTTCCGTGACTGGAATAAAACACCTGAGAATTAATTTACAGAGGGAAAAGGTTCATCGTGTGTGGCTTTGAGCTGACGAGCATTGTCTGCCACAGCCTGCAGATCTGTCAGCTCACGGTGGCATGGTACAGGGAAGGGAGGACCCATCGTGCCCTGAGGAGGATGCCCCCAACTCACGCTAGTGTCTGGTTGTCAGGCCACCACCAGGATCGACACTTAGTTGCCTTTTCTATCCTGAGTCCACTGTAGTGCAGGAGAGTCAGCTCTTCCACACCTTCGCTCACACGCTCTTGCTGTGTGAGTAGACAGACCCTCAATGCCCCCCCCCTTTTCTCTGTTGATAACGCTTCGGTGGCACACACTATTTTCCTTAGCTGTGCCCTCCATATGTGCCAGCTTGCACCCTGGCTGCGGAGAAGCCCTGTTTCCATCCTGGCTCCCTCATGGCACAGCAGGCATGTCAGTGGGTGTATGGGCGTGTGGTTCTGAAGTAGGTTGCCTGTGCTTTGCTGTGGTCATCAGCGAACTTCACGTGTGTTAAACTGGATCGTTCAGCAGCTGTTAGTGGGAAGGGAATGCTTTTTGCTACAGTATCAGAGTAATTTGTGTGTGTGTGTGTGTGTGTGTGTGTGTGTGTGTGTGTGTGTGTTTGGTGCTGGGGATTGAACCCAGGGCCCCCGTACATGTGTTGATCGTTTCTCTACCACTGACCTGTGTTCCTTCCTAGAATAGTTTTAAACACAGCCGTTTGGTCTAGTTTGGGTAGGTGGTTACAGACCATCCTCATTCTTCGTTCTCTTTGACCCTTAGCTCGTGGAGTCGGAGCTGAGTGACGGTGGCAAGACATCTGTGGTGAGTGAGGAGGAGGAAGAGGAGGAAGAGGAGGAGGCTGTGCCTAGAAGAGGCAGGTCCACGAGAAGCAGTTTTGGTCTTCGAGTAGCCTTTCAGTTCCCCACCAAGAGACTGTCAAAGACACCAGATAAAAACAGCTCTCACTTAGCGGACAGTAAGACTGATTTCGGAAGGGGGAAAAGCTGCAGACAGGCCAAGGAGCGGGAAGACTCTGCCTCTGAGTCTGAGGATGACTCCAGGGCTGAGAGCCGGGAGAATTCGGATGCTCTGCTGAAAAGGGCCATGAACATCAAAGAGAACAAGGCCGTGGTAAGCTCTCCCAGGGCGCTGGGACCAGAGCGCTGCCCCGCTGCTGCAGCTTTTCTCTCTGGAGGGAGGGTGTGCTCTGGGGCGCGTGTGTTTACATGACTAGCCCTGGTTTGGGAATGGAAAGACTCGAGGGCCATTTATCGCCGTTCCGAGGTTGCTGCTGCTCACGGTTGAGCGGGCTTGAGTTCTAAGTTGGCAGAAGCACTGGAGAGGGGAGGGGCTGAGCAGCTGCACTGCCCCCCCAAGACAGAAGAGAAGAGGAGCTGGGTGTCACTGAGCCCAGGGAGAATTGTAATGGGCAGCAGGCAGGTGGCTTTTGTCTAGAGGCCACTCCTTCAGAGACATCACCTGAAGGAAGGAGAAAGGCTGACAGCAGCCTCTGAGGTGTTCTCATTCAGTTATACCTTGGTTAACTCAGCCTACATCTATTTGGGGTTTCTGTATGTGGCCAGTAACTCAACCTAATCACTGAAAGTCATTCTTTTCCTCCTAATTTTATGCTGACAATTTTTTTTAAAAAAAAATCTGCCAGTTGCAATTTTTTACTTTTTCATCTTGATGACTTGGGCGGGGGGGTGGGGGGGGGAGGCGCAGTTTGAGACAGGGTTTCTCTGTGTAGCTCTGGCTGTCCTGGAACTCACTGTGTAGACCAGGCTGACCTTGGAATTCAGAGAGCTGTCTGCCTCTGCCTCCCAAGTACTGGGATTAAAGGTGTAGACTACCACCACCCGGCTTTTTGATGACTTTTTAAAGGCCATCTTAAAAAAAAAAAAAAAGCACAATGTGATCATACTGTATACATAGGCCCATGCCTAATAAGTTAAGAGAACATAGTCCATTATGAGTGAATTTTGTTTTTGGTTTTTAGAGACAAATTTGCTTGACTAAAGGAAATTTTAACACTCCGTCCTTCTGTATCATTTTAGTGAGAACTATGTTATACATGGTTATTCTTAGTGGTGTCATATTTACATGAATCTAAAATTCAAAGTCCTGATTAAATGACTGGCATATTAGTGTCTGTTCCTTGGCGTTGGGTGTTTATCTGGGAATGGTAACTAATTTATGTAAGGAGGTAGGAATTTTTGAGATACATATTCAGGGAGTCTAGACTGGTCACAAACCCCTGATCCTCTTGTATCTGCACCCTGGGCGCTGTATTACAGCATGTGCCTCCACTCAAGCCCCAGCCAGTGAATTGGGAGTTCTGAGACTCGCTGAACTCTTCTTTGAACATGCAGACGTTTGAGTTTCAGCCATGTGAAATGTGTTCCAGACTCACACTGTTAAGATAGTAGCAGAGTCAGGACATGCCAGGACTGTCTTCACTGTGTTCTGTTGTCCACATGTAAGGAGTGGGCATGGCATTGACTCGGGTGAACAATGCGTCACCTTCTTACTCGGGAGGTGAAATCTTACAGTTACTGAGATTCACAGAAGCCAGAGTAGGTAATTGGGAGATGTGAGAGAGGTGTTGGTCCCAGACCTGTCCCCTTGACTGACATCAAATCTCCCTTTCTTTCTGAACCTTAGCTCGCTCAGCTGTTGGCAGAATTGAACTCGGTGCCAGATTTCTTCCCTGTGCGAACCCCGTCCTCGACCTCTGTAAGTGAAACGCCTGACTTCTCAGACGGGTCCTGCCCTGTAGGAACTGGTAGCTTTCTGTGTAAGAGGGACCCAGATGCATCTGTCTGTACCTTGGTTTCAGAAGAGGAGAACAGCCCGACGGGCCTTCTCAGAGGGACAGATCATACGGCGCATGAACCCAACCCGGAGTGCACGGCCCCCAGAGAAGTTTGCTCTGGAGAACTTCACTTTCTCGGCCACCAAGCTCACCGAAGAGCTTTACAGTTTCAGAAGAAGGAAGACAATTAGTGGGGTATTTACTTTAAATGCTGAGAACTTGAGTTTCTACCATGTTCTTGTGAGAGCATGTGTTGAGAAGACCCCAGGGCTGAGCTGCAGATCACATTGAGAGTCCTTGGTGTAAAGTGAGCTGAGGAGCTGGGGTGGTTCAGGAGTAGAGTACTTCCTTGCCAGCTGGCTTTGATCGCCAGCTTTGGCTTGGCACTGTGGAAGGTGAAGCGTTCCTCCTTGCTTGTGTTTTTAGGACTGGCCCCTTTGAGTGCTGTTGGGGAAGAGGGGGAAACTTAAGAGCCTCCCCATATATGGGCTTGGCTGTTCACTATGGTTCACTTCCCTGTCTCCTCAAAGTTTATAGCCCGTGAGTGTGCTGTAGTGCCCTCCAAGGGAGCTTGGGCTGGGACCGGAGCCCACGGAATGACCACACAGACGAGACATGGTCAACCTTGGATCACTAAGCATGTTTAAGATTTTTGTTGTAATTTCCATTGTGGGTCAGGTTCTCCATTCTGTGTGTTGTTTTTTCTTTGCAGGGGAAATGCCAGAAGTATAGACGACGTCACCGAGTATCATCTTGTCGCTCGGTGAAAGACATCACTGACGAAGACTTGGAAAATGTTGCCATAACTGTGCGTGATAAAGTCTACGATAAAGTGCTGGTAAATGACATCTTCAGAAAAATGTGCATGACTGGTTCTTACTGGGAGCCCCCCCCCCCCCCCCCCCACACACACACACACTGCTATTGGAGTCTGACATCAATAATAAACAACCTCAGGCCTTCTGCTCCTGTGTCGCCGTCCAAAGGCTTGCTCTATCTAAGCTGTGTGATCAAGGCAGGCCACCTAGCATAGTGGGCCTACTCAAGGGGGAGGGCTCTTTGGGACATGAGTCCTGGAAGATAAGAATGCTTTTCTAACCCAGTGCTTACCTGTTAAATATTGAGTATATGTGGGGGGCAATATGCCCATAGGATAAAGTAGAATTTCTGGTTGATATGAACTGGGTTAGTTTTTCCCAAACGATGACCTGCAGGGAGGCTTTACATATTCTGTATCATTTTTGTTAGTTCGACACTATTTAAAATAGTAGAATGTCAGTTGAATTGTCAACCTTTCAAAACAAGGTTTTACACCGATGGTTTCTGGGTCTCCGGCAGTAGATTAGAGCCGAATTCATGCTACCTGGGGCTCATGGCTGCTTACATCACCGTCCCCTCCTACTCTCTCTTCTGTTACTGACGTTTCCATTCCTTCTGCGTTTCCTGCTTAGCCTCATCTGACCCAGAACCAAAGTGCTCAAAGTGGAGGTCACCATCGTTTGTCTCAGGAACAGTCCTGCCAGCCTCTGGGCGTGAGCCATGCTCCTGTCCTCTGTCATAGTGTGACGACGTCTGAACGGGTGCCATCATGAATCCCACATCCTCTTCCTTTGCTTTTCCACAGGGTAACACCTGCCATCAATGCCGGCAGAAGACCATTGATACCAAGACGGTGTGTCGGAACCAGAGCTGTGGTGGTGTGCGAGGACAGTTCTGTGGGCCGTGCCTACGCAATCGCTATGGGGAGGATGTGCGGACCGCATTGCTGGATCCGGTAGGAGCAGTGTGTGCGTTTGTTATGGACATACTGACGAAGTGATGCGGGCTAGGGCCTGGGGGCCCTGCGGTGCTCCCTCACTTCACTTTCCCGTCCTACAGCTTAAGACTGTGGGGAAAATGAAGTGCAGTGTTTCCTTCTGGGAAGAGAACCAGGTGACAGACGTAGGGGTTTCTAATGGCCAAGCCAGGGTTTATTTTCCTTCAGCAAAGTGATTTCACATCATCTGTCTTGACCTGTCCAGGGGGTAAGTCACAGTTACCCACTGGCCAGAACTACGCTGAGTGTCTCATACCTGCTGACATCATTTATCACTAATATATTTTGTAACAACAAAAATATATGGCACAATCTGCGTGTGTGTGCACTTGGTTGCAGAGACCAGAGGGCAACCTTAGTTGTCATTATCAAGAACATCATCCAGAGCCTCTCACTAGCTTAGGGTTCAACAGTCAGGCTGGCCAGCCAAAGATCCTCTCGTCTCTGCCTGCCCAGCGCCCCCTGCATATCTGGACAGTTGCACTCAGGCTCTCCCCACCAACTGAGATCTTCTCCCCAGCCCCATTTTACATTTTGAGGTGGGTGTTTAACCTGTCTATGCTTCAGATCCCTATGAGAAATGAAATGTCATTTTCAAACTCTGAAGGCTTATGAATATAATATTGCATTGAACTTGAGCATTGCCATTTTGGGGTCTGTGTTCAACCACCTCAGTGTATGACCTCTTCTGCAGCAGTCACGGATACACACACACACACACACCCACACCCACACCCACACCCCCTCCCCCTCCCCCTCCCCCCCCCCCCCTCCCTCTCCCTCTCCCTCTCCCTCTCCCCGGTTTCTAGACATACTGTTTAGATTAAGTGGTTTAACATCAAGGTCACATATCAGGAGAGCTAGAATTCTCATGTTGATCCTGTGCCAAACCTGTACTCCAAGGTCACATATCAGGAGAGCTAGAATTCTCATGTTGATCCTGTGCCAAACCTGTACTCCTAAAAATCACAGCCAATGTGTGACCTCTGAATCACATAGGGCCCCAAATGTAAAAGCAAGCTTAATTTTTTTTTTGTTAATGGCTTGCCCTCAGTGGTATCCAGTCATGTCTAGAACCGATGTCTCCTTATTTCTCTGATATGGGGAGGTCATTCTTTGTGGGTTCATGTGTAGCCCCTCATCCACTCTGACTTAAGGACACCTTGTGTTAGTGGCTGGAGGAGAGGCTTGACCCAAGTCTCTTGCATAGAATGTGGCTAAAAGGAACAATCCCTCTACTGTCTTCTAGGAGTGGACATGTCCTCCCTGCCGTGGGATCTGCAATTGCAGTTACTGCCGGAAGCGAGATGGCCGATGTGCCACTGGAATTCTCATTCATCTGGCCAAGTTTTACGGCTATGATAATGTCAAGGAGTACCTGGAGAGGTAAGTCTCCAGCGATGTAAAAGCGTGTGGGAGACCCTGTAGGCCCTCGTTTTCTCCTCTGCTAATCGGTAGAAACCACCTTGAGTTCCATCCATTCTGTATCCGTTTGTACTGGAGAGGCTCCGGCCTAGAGAATTCCTTCCTTGATACAGAGTATTCAACTCCACAGTGGCTCTAACCATTTCCACTTGCGGTGCAAAACACATGCATGAGAACGTCTGTAAAAACATTCTCCACAACCTGAAGAGCAGGGAGTTGGACAGCGTGCGCTGGGGAAGGCGGGCTACAGATGCGAATTCTATACTGTCAGGTTGTGTTAGGAACTCCGAACCGAGACACGCTTGGCATTCTGTACTCAGGGCATGTGGAGCCACGTCTCGGTGTGCACCCCTGGGTGTTCTGGAACCACCGTAGCCTAGAATGCTGCTTCATGGTTGCTTCTGGTCAGCTGCTTACGAACACCTCTCCATCTTTCACTCAGCTTACAGAAGCAGCTGTAGAAGATGAGCGAAAGGAGAAGGAACGCTCGAACGTACCCGAGTCCCACTAGAGATGTCTGCCATTTGTGCCTAGCCTTAGAGCTGAACTTCACAAAAGCTTGTTTCCTAGAACTTACTGTTTCTAATACTATTTTTTTCTAAAAAGTTTATATGCTTAAAAAGATTTCTCAGGAAAATAGTACAGCAGAGAAATCTGTATACTCACCTGCGCAGACCTGTATTGTTACAAATACCTGCTGAAGATTTAAAAGCACAATTTAAATGAGGCAGAGTTAAAGCTCAGGTAAGTTTCACACAAGATGCTGTTGCCTTTGCTGTTCAGCTCTCCCACAGTCATTCAGGCTACTCCTCCTCTTACAGAGACTGTTGCTCTGCCTCCTGAGTGACCATAGCTCAAGCCTGTTTATCATGCTCTAGGTACTGAATTCTGGGTCATTAGAAATTTATATTGAAGAATGTTCCCCCTAAACGACCAAGTGCAATTAACCACACACTGTGAGTAAGGTGTCCTTTTTATTAAAAGACAGCAAAGACGGACCAAGTTATAGACACTGGAGGCCTCATATGCCTGCCTTTTCCTTCAGGACCTGCCTGGAGCCTGCTGCTTTTTTAAAAAGATTTTGCTTTTTATAGAATCCTTACTGCATTGTTTTTAAGACTTAGGGAAACTTAAGAGATAAGCCATGGTGTTTTGTATGGTATGGTGGAGGAAGCTAAAATTTTCAACAAGTGTGTGTCCCAGATAGCTGTTTAGTGTTTTGTGTTGTTTTTGTGTAATACTACTATTCTCCCTCCTCAGAGAACAAAAATGCTCTAACAAAAAGAACGTAAGCCAGAGTACCAAGGCCGTTATGCCTCCAGCAGCAGGGCCACACCCGCCAGCACCCACCCAGCTGCCCTGTTTTTGCTCTTCAGCCTGAAGGTCCACACGTAGGTGTGGCCTCTCGCTTTGGTTTTGTAAACGGGGCACTCGTACGTGTGCTTAGTTTCTTGTCTGTCCACGGTTACGGCCTTGGCAAAGATGACAGGCATCGTGGATGTTAACTCCTTAAGGCGGGCCTCAACAAGGGCTCCTGACTGGATGTCCCATCTGGCACCTGTGGCAGAAACAACAGTTGTGTAACGGTGGCGTGTCGGTACCGATGCTCTAATTGTTTGATGCAATAAATGTTCCACATTTATCACGTTGTCACCTGTCTGTAGCATCCTTGTATGGCTGAGGAGTTTAATGGTTTAGCCATTTTAGAAGATCAGATTTTGTACAGATTCAAACCCTTTATAGCAAACTAGAAAGCATGTAAGACACAGCTTTCTAACATTCTTTGCATTCAATGAGCTTGGAAGTGGAGGTCACTCACTACCTAGCCTTGAAGTATCTGAGCCGTGGCATCTGCCTCACTGTGAGCGTGCTGCTGCCGATGAGGTGTCCTGCAGCGTAAATGCACAAATAGAGACACACAGCATCAAGGGCACCTGCCAGGGCGTGGGGACATCTGGGAGCAGAGTAGTAGAGCAGATGTACTGAGAGTATTTTATTTAGAAAGTAGAGGACGGGCCACCGAGATGGCTCAGTGGGTAAAAGGCAAGGTGTTGGCAACCTGACCCCCTGAGTTTGATCCCCGGAGCCCATAGAGAAAGCCAGATGTGGAAAGACACATCTGTAGTGCCAGCATTCCTACATCAAATATGGGAGGTAGATACAGGAAAATCAGTCTTGTGGGCTAGCTATCCTGGAGTATGTAGTATGGCGGAAACGGCACAAGAGACCCTGCCTCAAAACAAGATGAAGAGAGAGACCCGACTCCTGAGGTTGATCTTTGACCTCTACACACAGTACAAGCTTAAAAGCAGAGGGTGGATTTTGAATTGATGGTAGTGAAAAGCAAAACACTATGAATTACATGCAGGACTTGAGTTTCTGAGGTTTTGTTGTTTTGTTTTGGTTGTTTTTTCAAGACAAGATTTCTCTGTGTAGTTTTGGTACCTGTCCTAGGTCTCACTCTGTAGACCAGGCTGGCCTTGAACTCACAGAGATCTGCCTGGCTCTGCCTCCCAAGTTCTGGGATGAAAGGCATGTGCCGCCGCCACCGCCGCCCAAGCAGTTTCTGAGGTTTTAACACCATCTGATGATAGATGTGCAGTTTAAATAATAGTCATCACCCTGAGTGCCGAAAAGTTTGGCTTATGTTAGACACACACCTGGATATTTAGATTGTCTGAAGGGAAGAGGAAGAAATAATTACCAATACAAGGTTATCATCTCACTGAGTAGCTGTTGAAGGAGAGGGACCAGCTTGTATCTAAGACAGCTCCACACATATCCCTTAGTAGACTCACCTTCCAGGTGGAGCCCGTGGAGATACGCGCCTTCTCTGGGGGGGTGGCCATAATCTTCCTTTGTTTTTTTGGTAACGTCCACAGTCAAGCACATTCTGTCCAGTGGCCACTCATTTTTTCGAGCCATAGTCTGCATGATTGCTTTGGGAGGAAAAGGAAGAATTGAAGGTAAAATCTGGTTTACAGGCTCCCAAGAGCCAACAGTGCCCCACGGAGTTCTGCAGGTTAGAGTGAGGCTGGGCACACAGGCTTGTGCAGGACCAGTTTGCCTCCATGTCACAAACTAGAACACGCCAGCGCGGCAGCTGCCCTTGGCTTCTGTGTGGCCTGTACGTCTGCAGCATGACGGACGAGGGAACGTGGCTGACGTGGCTTTTCACTAGGACAAACCGCTGTGGCTGTGCCTGGGGGCTCACTCCTTCCTAACCGGAACTTTCTCTAGTTGCTACCCCTGCTCTATAATGATTGTTTGAAGACTGGTGAAGAAGGGCAGGAAGTTGTCAAGAGTAAGTAAAGCCAGGCGGGAGTGCTGCCTCGACTCCAGCCATACCTGTTAAGAAGGACTGGGGGTTGAAGAAGCCAGAAAGCCACACGACGGCTGGGAGTGTGAGGTCTTGTGTCCAAGTGTCGAGTTCTCGGCATCGCAAGAGGAGGTCGTTAAACCTGGTTAATGGAAGGGAGGAAGAAGTGAACTTGCATTTTAGTAAAATGAATTTCTTCCAGGAAGATAAGGGACTGTGGAGCACACAGTGGTGGTACGTGGGCAGGGAAAGCCTTCTCCAATGATTTACGAGTTGGTGTCCCTGTATGAGTCTGGTTTCTTCCTGCTGAGAGTTTATACGTGCAGTTCTTGTTCCTGTCACCATTAGGAGTAGGAAACGCTGGACAGTGTGGGCAGGGATGGTACAAAAGCCATTTGAACAGGGTTGACAAATACCACCACTCTGTCAGATACAGTAGAAGTGCAGCAATGTGTGTGTGTGCCTGTGTCCATTACTGTTAAAATACAGAGTTGCCAGGGAAGAGTAGGAGAGTGTTTCACACAGAATAATTGCTTGGGAAAATAAAGGATTCTAAGGAAAATATTCACACACACACACACACACACACCACAGCCTGGTGGAAAAAACTCCGGCAATGTTATGTTGAAAACATTGAAAAAAAATGTTAGGATTAAAAGGCATGGTGAGAGGACCCTGGAGAGGTGGCTCAGCAATTAAAAGCACTAGCTGCTCTTTCAGAGGACCCAAGTTCAATCCCTTGCATCCACATGACAGTTCATGTCTGTGACTCCAGTTCCAAGGGATCTGATGCCCTCTTAGCTTATACTATGTAGGGGGGGAATTTCAAAACAAGACTGGAAGAAAAGCAGTTCTGATAAACAGTGATCAACAAAACAGAACAAAAATAAATCTCGGAGGAGGCTCATGCTTGGAGGTAGGTTGAGAGGTCTCTGGAAAGTGTTGATTTTAGGTTGTGTTTGGAAAGTTTAGTGTATGTTACATCATAATTACATCATAAAGGACCCTCTCTAAGTAGAAACGGTACAGAGGTAAGTAAGTGCACAGTCAAGAAAATTACTAAACCCACAAAGTTAGAAACACACAAAGCTAGGGGGAAAAAATACAGAAATTAGCAAGCACGAAGTAATACGATGACAAAAAGCCGAAACTTATAATGAATCATAAAATACAGCTAAATGCAAATCCTCCATTTGTGGGTACGTAGACCTAGCCTTTATATATCTATAATGTTAAAACTCTGTTGAGGTCCACTCACTCTCCTGAGAAGTGGTGATCCCCTGGAAGTCACCTAGCTGTCCTGCCCCTTTGCTCACACCTGTGTTACCAACTCATACAACCTAGAGTCATGGGGGAGAGGGAAATTCAAATGACTTGCCTAGATCAGATTGGCCTGTGGACATTTCTGTTGGGCACTATCTTGATTGCTAATTACCGTGGAAGGGTCTGCCCACAGTGGGAGACACTACCATCCCTTGGTAGGCGGGCCCGAACTGTGCAAGCTAGTTGGCTGAGTGAAGAGAGTAAACTAGTAAGCAGTGTTCCTCCTCGGTCCCTGGACAGTGATAGGTAGACTGTTTTCTGGAACTGTAGCTGAAGGGAACCCTTTCTTCCCCAAGTTTAATCATAGCAACAGCAAACC